ATGTCATAGTATAGTAAGGCATAAAAATGTCAAAAAAATGTCACAGTATAACAAGGCATAAAAATGTGGGGAAAAACGTCATAGTATAGTATGATATAAAAATGTCAAAAAATGTCATAGTATAATAAGGCATAAAAATGTGCAAAAACGTCATAGTATAGTAAGGCATAAAAATGTCAAGAAAAAGGTCACAGTATAACAAGGCACAAAAATGGGAAAAAAACATCATAGTATAGTAAGGCATAAAAATGTCAAAAAACGTAACAGTAATGTTAGGCATAAAAATATCAAAAAACGTAACAGTATAGTAAGACATAAAAATGTCAAAAAATGTCATAGTATAATAAGGCATAAAAATGTGAAAAAACGTCATAGTATAGTAAGGCATAAAAATGTCATAGTATAATAAGGCATAAAAATGTTAAAAAAAATGTCATAGTATAGTAAGGCATAAAAATTACAAAAAATGTAAGTGTAAAGTAAGGCATAAAAATGTCAAAAAAAATGTCATAGTATAATAAGGCATAAAAATGTCATAGTATATAGTAAGGCATAAAAATGTCAAAAAAATGTCAGAATAATAGGGCATAAAAATTTCATAGTATAATAAGGCATAAAAATGGGAAAAAACATCATAGTATAGTAAGGCATAAAAATGTCAAAAAAATGTCACAGTATAACAAGGTATTAAAATGTGAAAAACATAGTAGATTAAGGCATAAAAATGTCAAAAAAATGTCATAGTATAATAAGGCATAAAAATGTGAAAAAACGACACTTCATAGTAAGGCATAAAAATGTCAAAAAATGTCATACTACAATAAGGCATATAAATTTCATAGTATAGTGAGGCATAAAAATGTTATAGTATAATAGGGCATAAAAATGTAAAAAAAAATGTCATAGTATAGTAAGGCATTAAAATGTCAAAAAAATGTCACAGTATAACAAGGCATAAAAATGTCAAAAAACGTAACGGTAAGGTAAGGCATAAAAATATCAAAAAACGTAACAGTATAGTAAGGCATAAAAATGTCATAGTATATTAAGGCATTAAAATGTCATAGTTTAGTAAGGCATAAAAACGTCAAAAAACATAATAATATAGTAAGACATAAAAATGTCAAAAAATGTCATAGTATAATAAGGCATAAAAATGTGAAAAAAGGTCATAGTATAGTAAGGCATAAAAATGTCATAGTATAATAAGGCATAAAAATGTCAAAAAAATGTCATAGTATAATAAGGCATAAAAATGTAAAAATAAAAGTCATAGGCATAAAAGGCATATAAACTCCACAGAGCATTGGCCCCATATCTGAGGTTTGAACTCACGAACTTATTACTGTGAGACAACATGTCCAACCACTGTACCACCATGCTGATACAACACAATGTCATATTATGTAGAACATAGAATCTTCATAATAAAGTAAGACATAAAAAGGTCATAGTATAGTAAGGTAGGAATCTGTCAAAAAACCTCATAATATAATAAGGTATAAAAACATCATAGTATAGTAAGGCATAAAAATTTTATTGTATAGTAAGGTATGAAAACATCAAAATACATCATAGTACACTAAGGCATAAAACATCAAAAAACTTCATAGTATAGTATGGCATAAAAACGTAATTGTATAATAAGGTATAAAAAACGTCATAGTATAGTAAGGCATAAAAACATCCGAAAACGTCACAGTATAGTAAGGTATGAAAATGTCAAAAAACGCCATAATACAGTAAGTCATAAAAACGTAATTGAACAGTAAGGTATGAATATGTCAGAAAACATCATAGTATAGTATGGCATTAAAACGTCATAAAACAGCATAGTATAACAAGGAATAAAAACATCATAGTATAGTATGGCATAAAAATGTAATTATAAAGTAAGGTGTGAATATGTCAAAAAACATCATAGAATAGTATGGCATCAAACCATTATAGTATAGTTTGGCATAAAAATTGAATTGCATAGTAAGGTATGAAAACGTCAAAATACATCATAGTACACTAAGGCATAAAAACATCAGAAAACGTCATACTGTAGTAAGCCATAAAAAGTTAAAAAAAACCAAGATAGTATAGTTAGGCATAAAAATATCAGAAAACGTCATAAAAAGTCAAAGAAACGTCATAGTATAGTAAGGCATAAGAATTTTATTGTATAGTAAGGTATGAAAATGTCAAAATACATCATAGTACACTGAGACATAAAACATCAGAAAACATCATAGTATAATAAGGTAAAAAATGTAAAAAACATCATAGTATAGTAAGGCATAAAAACATCAGAAAATGTCATAGTATAGTAACACATAAGAAGTAAAAAAAAACATCATAGTATAGAAAGGCATAAAAATGTGAAAAACATAGTATAACAAGGTATCTAAATATCATAGTATAGTATGGCATAAAAATTTAATTGTATATTAAGGTATGAAAACATCAAAATACATCATAGTACACCAAGGCATAAAACATCAGAAAACGTCATAGTATAGGATGGCATAAAAACGTCATAGTATAATAAGGTATAAAAAACGTCATAGTAGTGTAAGACATAAAAATGTGAAGAACATCATAGTATAGTAAAGCATAAAAACATCAGAAAACATCATAGTATAGTAAAGTATGAAAATGTCAAAAAACGTCATAGTATAGTAATGCATAAAAATGTCAAAAAACGTCACAGTACAGTAAGGTATGAAAACATCAGAAAACGTCATAGTATAGTAAGGTATGAAAATGTCAAAAAACATCATAGTATAGTAATGCATAAAAATATCATTGTATAATAAGGTATAAAAACATTAGAAAACGTCACAGTATAGTAAGGTATGAAAATGTAAAAAAAACGTCATAATATAGTGAAGCATAAAATGTAATTGAACAGTAAGGTATGAATATGTCAGAAGACATCATAATATAGTATGGCATTAAAACGTCAAAAAACGCATAGTATAACAAGGAATAAAAACATCATAGTATAGTATGGCATAAAAATGTAATTATACAGTAAGGTGTGAATATGTCAAAAAACATCATAGAATAATATGGCATTAAAACATCATAGTATAGTATGGCATAAAAATTTAATTGCATAGTAAGGTATGAAAATGTCAAAATACATCATAGTACACTGAGACATAAAACATCAGAAAACATCATAGTATAGTAAAGCATAAAAACATCAGAAAATGTCATAGTATAGAAAGGCATAAAAATGTGAAAAATGTCATGGTATAGTAAGGCATAAAAACATCAGTAAATGTCATACTATAGAAGGCCATAAAAAGTAAAAAAAAAAACATAGTACAGTAAGGCATGAAAAAATCATATTATAATAAGGTACAAAAACATCATAGTACAGTAAGGCATAAAAACATCATATTATAATAAGGTATAAAAACGTCATAGTATAGTTAGACATAAAAATGTGAAAAACGTCATAGTACACAAAGGCATAAAAACATCAGAAAATGTTTTGGTATAGTAATGCATAAAAAGATCAGAAAACGTCATAGTATAGTAAGGCTTAAAACATCATAGTGTAATAAGGTATAAAAACGTCATAGTATAGTAATGCATAAAACGTCAAAAAAACGACATAGTATAGTAAGGCATAAAAATGTGAAAAACGTCACGTTATAGTAATGCATAAAAACTTGATTGCACAGTAAGGTATGAATATGTCAAAAAACATAATATAACAAGGTATAAAAATATCATAGCATAGTAAGGTATAAAAACTACATAGCTTAATAGGGAGCAAAAATGTCAAAAAACATCATAGTATAGTATGGTATAAAAATGCAATTGTATACTGAGGTATGAAAACGTCAAAATACATAATAGTATACAAATGTGAAAAACGTAATAGTACACCAAGGCATAAAAACATCAGAAAATGTCATAGTATAGAAAGGCATAAAAACATCAGAAAATATCATAGTATAACAAGGTTTAAAAATGTCAAAAAACATCATAGTATAGTAAGGAATAAAAAGTCAAAAAAACGACATAGTATAATAAGGTATAAAAAAGTTATACTATAGTGAGGCATAAAAACATCAGAAAATGTCATAGTATGGTAAGGTATGAATATGTCAAAAAACATCATAGTATAGAATGGCATTAAAACGTCAAAAAACATCATAGTATAACAAGGTACAAAAATGTCATATTATAGTAAGGCATAAAAACATCAGAAAACGTCATAGTATAGTAAAGCATAAAAAGTCAAAAAAACGACATAATACAGTAAGGCATAACAATGTGAAAAACATAATTGTACAGTAAGGTATGAATATGTCAAAAAACATCATGGTATAACAAGGTACAAAAATATGTTATAGTAAGGCATAAAAACATCAGAAATCGTTATAGTATAGTAAAGCATAAAAAGTAAAAAAAACGACATAGTATAGAAAGGCATAAATACATCAGAAAACATCATAGTATAGTCATGCATAAATATGTAAATGCATAAAAATATTCAGAAAAACGTCATAAGTAAGGCATAAAAAAGTCAGAGTATTCATTGTGACATTTTCATGTGATTCTTCTATAGAAATTTGACTCATATTCTGATATATCCACCATTTTAACTCCTGTCAGCAACCTGACTGCTAGCCTCCAGAAGACTGAAGCCAGGGTTAGCTTGCTAGTTAACGTAAGCTAACATGGTTAAAAAACTTAAGTCGCCATTTTTCTGATGGCGTTGCTAGCATGCTTAAATCGGTTGTCTTGGAGACGTAGCACATTGGAATGATCTAATATGACTTTACTCCAAACATAGTGCAAAGGAGTTCACTCAAATATTGGTAGGGACGATTCTGTCCTCCCAAAATGTTCGTAGGGACATGTCCCTGCTGGCCATTTGCAAATCTACACCCTTTCTTTAGCCTGATGTTTTTAGCCATTATATTCACCTCTCTCTCTCTTTCACCTTCATCCCTCCTCTCCTCCCTCTTCCTCCCTCTTCCTCCCTGCAGCAGATCTCCCAGCTCCTTTCCCTCCTCCGGCAGGGTCAGCTGCAGCCAAGGCCAAACTTCCGGGGGAACAAATATTCTCATCGCAGGTCAGTCTGACTCCTCCTCCTCCTCCTCCTCCTCCTCCCTCGTCTCCTCCTCCCTCGTCTCCTCCTCTGATGTAGACTCAGCAAAACCACAACAAAGGCAAAAAACCAACGAGCTCCTTCTGCTTTTCCTTTATTTATGTTTCATTTTAGACATAATGAAGGTTTTTTATTACTTTACCCTATAACTGACACTATGGTCACACATGTTCACTGCATTAAACCATCCAGTTTCATCTCAGAGAAACTTTGTACTTTTTGTTCGTGAAAATGTTTAAAAATTTTCTGAACAAAAGTTATACAGAGTTAAAGTAAGAAAACAGTGAACAAACTAAACCAAACCTAAACACAACCTTGAATCTCACCCTGGAAGCCGAACATTCATCCCAACAGCTGGTGTGAAATTCAGTTTGACAAACAGAAATTGGTGATTTAATAACAAAGTCACCTTTTCTGTTATGATTGGAAACATGTATCTGATACGAACAGTTAACTTTATGTGATGTGGTGAGTAAGAGCCATAAACCACCGTCTGTCTCCTGTGGTTTTCAGTCTTTAAAATGAAAACAGAGAAGCTGGATTTAGTTTTCTGTTTTGACCACCACCACACTTCAACTTTCTCGTAGATACGACGCCACATAAACACTCAAATGTTCTTTCTTTGAACATTGAAACTGTAATATAATATAATATAATATAATATAATATAGTAAATATTTTGTCATTGTGTCACAAAGATGGCACCAAATCCCATCCCGGTCTTTTCGTCCTCTCCTTCATCACTCTCCTCATCATCAGAGGTTTGTTTGAGAGCCAGCTGGCTGCAGGTCTCAGACTGTGATCACTGCTGCGTCCTCTGATCAAACCAGACTTCCTCTGATAGCAGGACAGGCAGACATTAAAGGGGAATGCCACCCATTTAAAGAACTCACAGATGTCTCTCCTGAACCTGAACATTTCTGTGCAAAGATCCTCTCTCTCTGCAGCTACTTTTTTATTTCTTCAGAAGGGGAAAAATGTTTTTAGGCTTTGTGTGATAATGTGAGAATAATAACCACCTGATTAAAAGTTATAGGCCACATTTAAATAAAGCAGCCTCTTCTCCAGTTACTGCACATGTTGACAGCCACAGCATCACTGTGTCCAGAGCATTGTGTAATATCACTTCAGACTTTATTTCATGCTGTTGTTGTGGGGATAAATTTCTCTTTTATCACAACTGGACAGGCAGAGGCTCTGACTCCGATGTCATAAGGAAAAGTTCAAACACTTATATCGGTGTTCAGACAAAACCATTGGAAGAATAATTAGACATCTGTACACAAACAGTTTTACAGTATGAATCCTGACTGAAGAGACGGATGCAAAAAACAACACATTCATTACACATATAGACACAAAAAGAGTCGAGATCTCTGGTTCAACTTCACCTGCTTCCACACAGAAGGTAAAAGTCCAGTAACACTTACAGTACAGAGAACAACTTTATTTTCAGACCAGTGCAAAGATAAAACAACGTGTACACAGCTTTTCTTCTCTGGGTAAAACAAGTGCTGTAAAAACAGATGGTGACTTCACTTCTGTAAACAGTGTCTCAGCTCTTTAGAGTCAGTTAGATTGACTTGTCTATTTTTAAATGAAGGGACTCTGGCTTCCAGTTGACGCGGTGAAAGCCGATGAATGTCGTCCTCCGTGTTTCTGACCGACTGACCTGCTGTGACTGAAATAACAGCAGCAGACAAACAGGACACGAAGTGAAACGTTCAATGTCACAGGATGAGTGTCTCATAACCCCCGTGAGTGTATAAGTGCAGGGCAGGTTATAGCAGCTCTGTCTGACTGATTCACAGGAAGCAGTGTACCTCGGCGTCACCATGGCGATGAGATTAGATCTGACATCACCTTGATAGAAACACAGCAAACAGTCGCATGAATCATTCTGTCATTTGTAAGGATTTTGGAGGCGATGACAAACTTTGTTGAAGGTTGGATTATCAAGTTTAATTAATTACAAATATCAATTAATAAAATTTCACAAAATAGTGGAAAAGGCCCATTTTTATTCCCTGGATCACAGGTAACATTCAAATACCTGTTGTCTGAGTCAAAAACCTTAAAAATGTGCAGAATTTGTTTTTAAATTTTGGCTTAAAAATGATTTAAACTATAAAAAAAACAAAAAAACAACCCAAACTGTCAATTAACAACTTGATTGATCAACTAATCGATTTTGTCCTGGTTCTGGTTGGTTTGTCTGGGGAAATGACAAGTTTTTGCCCCCAGTAGGAGGTTATTGTTTCCCAAAAGGTTCATATGTTGTTTTTAAATTTAAGTCTTCGTCATGTTTCTGTCGACACTGACGTGGTGTTTAAAGTGTTTCTTCACCAAATCCATGAAAAAAAAGCTTGAACTGAAACAAGTGGCATCAACTCACCTCAGAGTCTGATAAGATTTTAATCTTCAGCACTGGAATAAAATGAAGCTGTTTACTCCAAAGTGACTAACTCGTCTGTGAGCTCACCTTTATCTGACTGGCACTTCCTGTCTGAACCTGCCTGCAGCCACACGCTCTGATACTGCAGTTCTGAAGGATCAGAGGTGTGTGTGTGAGAGTGTGTGTGAGTGGTTGTTGGTGGTTATCACTGGATTTGTCACCTAAAACCTCAGGAATTTTATCACCATTTTAACACAGCAAAACCTCTGTCTCCATATCAGAGATTTCCACTGGAGCTCAGTCTGGGTTTTATCAGGGTTTATGTTCTTTGTTTCTCTGTGACAAAGAAGAAGAAAAATCTGTGATAAGAACCACTGAAGGAATGACCGCTAAATGAGCAATTGATGACATTTTTTTTTTTTGTGTTTTATTTATTATTTTCATCCGATTTCATTGGTCATTTGTATTTTCTGTAAATTGTGAAAAGCAGCTGAATGTTTCAGTGAAAACATCTGTCTGGAAAATGCTTTAAAAAATACAGCAAAACTTTTGCAAAAGTTTCTCAAACCAAGTAATACGATTTCAAACCTTTAGTTATTTTGTTTTGTTATTAAACTTTATTTATTTATTTAAAACACAGGTTATACATGAAGCTTTTAACATTGTCATTATGTTACAGGCTTCAGCCGCCTCCTTCCACAGAGCAATCAAACCTTTATTTTTTAATACTTCATCAGTTCAATGTGTCTATTCTTGTTGATATAAAATATAAAATGTTCAATAAGAACTTTTCTTTTGAGTTTTGACGTTAAAAAACAAAATCCTACGTTTGTTTCACGGAAAACTGATGAAAACAAACCCACTGACTGAGGATTCCTTCAGTCAGAAAGTTTCTGATGTTATCTGACAGTTGTGTGTGTGTGTGTGTGTGTGTGTGTGTGTGCAGATATGGAGGCCAGGACTGTTCTGATTGGCAGAGCACCAAAGACAGTGGACACGGTGAAAGCGAGGCTGGAGATGTGGACTGGGAACCAGGAAGAGACTCACCCATAGACCCACAGCTGGAGGAGGGGCTCAACAACCTGCTCAACAACACTGGTACACACACACACACACACACACACACACACACACACACACACAAATATGTCAAAGAAATATGTGGAGTTCTTTATTAAAAATAAAAAAACCACGCCCATACGTAGCTGTAGTATCATTACACAGTATTGTAGTAATTTCTTTCACAAAGTAAGTGGAACTCTGACTCTGCTGTACTTTTCTATTTAAAGAGACAAACAGTAAACTACACTGGTGTCACTGAGTTTAGCGGCGACCTCCTGCTGAAACTCTCTGATCCATCAGGACAAAAGCAGCTGCACTTTGACCCCTGCAGAATATACAGACCGATCACTTACAATGGACACACACTGGCAAAAGTAGAAAACAGGACGACAGCAGGAAATAACACAGTGGCAGGTTACACATCCACATCCACCCACACGCTCCGTTCCTCCGAGGTTCAGATGTGCTCAGAAACATGTTATTTCTTTGTCTTCAAATGGGATTTTCTGTGTTTTTGTGGTTGAAAATTCCCACAAACTTATAAAAAAATCTCATTAGAATCAGTTTCCTTTAAACAACCAAACACCAACAGAAACTATGAGCTTGTCAGAGTTATCATTGTGTTAACGTACGTTTTATTAGCCTGCTAGCATTACTTTAATGTTATTAGCATGCTATAGTGATATTGCTATGAGTTTGATGAGCATGTTAGTGTTGTTAGCATAATAATGTTCATGGTAATGTTATTAGCATGCGACAGTCATTAGCGTGTTTGTGTTATTAGCATGTTAGCGATACTTTAATGTTGTTAGCGTGCTATATTGATATGAGTTTAATGTTCATGATATGTCATTAGCACATGACTGTCATTATCATGTTTGTGCTATTAGCATGTTAGTGTTGTTAGCATATCATAGTGATATTACTATGATAGTTTTATGACCATGTGAGTGTTATTAGCATGATAATGTCATTAGCATGTGACGGTTTGTTTTATTAGCATGCTATTGTGATATTTCTATGATAGCTCAATGAGCATGTTAGTTTTATTAATATGATAATGGTCATGATAATGTCATTAGCACATGACGGTTATTAGCGTGTTTGTGCTATTAGCATGTTAGTGTTGTTAGCATGATGGTTTCCTAAGAATGGTAGTGATGATTTTTAAGCATGGTCGTTTTAGAGTGTTAGCGCTAATAGCATGTTAGCGTATAAACTTAATAGTGTTGTTAGCATTAATGTTATTTCTGATATTAGCATGTGTTAGGTCACTGGACACGTCCATGATATCCAGCTTCATGTCCTCATTTCTGTTATGAAAACATGGCCGCCGTCTTTACTGAAGTTTTACCAAGATATTTTCACTGAAACTCACTCACTGAAGACGTATTGTGTAGCTGGGAGTTCCTCTGTGGTATGTAGGCCAGTTTTTACAATGTGTGAGTGTGTACAGTAGGTGTGTGTGTGTGTGTGTGTGTGTGTGTGTGTGTGTGTGTGTGTGTGTGTGTGTGTTAAACAGTTTCTTCCTGGTATTGTGGTGGTCGGAGTCCCAGGGCGAGCAGAGGGGTTTACCGCCTGATGATGGTCGAGCGAGCTTTGCTTTATGACAGGAGAGAGAGAAACAAAAGTGTGAGTGGGAGTGTGTTGTGTTGTGTGTGTGATGCTTGACTCACCTTCCACCCTGCAGGCTCTATTATCACTGTAACTTACACCAGAGTACTATGACTACTAACTGTGTGTGTGTGCGTGTGTGTGTGTGTGTGTGTGTGTGTGCGTGTGTGTGTGTTTGAGCTTTGATGAAGCCGTCAGTGCAACACATAAATCTTTTCTCCTTCTTTTATATTTTTGTGACCTGCTTCTTCTTCTTCTGTCTGTCATGATGAATCGGACCAACAGATTCCTGAGCCTTTGTTCAGGTTTGCAGATGATGCTCCCGGCGTTGACAGAGTGTGTGAGAGTGTGTTTCCTTCTCGATCAGTTGGGACTGTGGTTGTGTTCTCTCTCCGTTATAAATATAACCTTATGAACATGAGTGTCATGTTATACCACGTGTGCAGCTCCCTCCATTAAAAGACACATACAGTAAACAAAATGTATGTATGTATATTTTGTATTTACAGTTAATTTCTCTACAGCTAAACTACAGGTAGCATGTAGCATAAGCTAACACACACGTCACTGCATGACATGCAGCTTAACCCTAATTTGTAGCTTTACTTACACACAACATACACTCACACACAACACATGTAAATACTGCACTTCAAATGCATATGATAGAAATATATAACCATAGCTTTATAATCATATAATTATTACACTTCTTTTCTGTTTAAATGAACTTGGACCAAACAAATCTTGTCGGCTGATTATTTCAACCTTGTCTTTTTTATAGTTTATTTACGGTTATATTCTTAATATTTAAACTTACCAGAGCTCATGCTTCCATGGCGATTTGTTTGCAAAGTGTTTATTTAATTAATTACATACTGAACAACAGAGAGGCAGTGATCAGTTCCACCTCTAAGACTATTATATTACAGGCAGGAACCAAAACAGTTGTGTAGTTAACTAGAGAATAAACTGACGATGTGTCAATCATATTTTATTTCGAGTTAAATGTCGACTGTTTTCAGCAGACAGTCTAACAGCTGATTCCGACTCTGTTACCTGTGATCCCTCTTTTTTTGGTGTTTATATAAATAAAGAGGAAAACATGGAGGCGATCTCTAAAATGGTGAAATCAAAAGATAAAACTGACTTAGTTCTGAGTGTGTATTTAAACCCTGATCTTGTCCCTTAACACATTAATGAGCCACACAGTTTATTTTGACTCAGTCCCACACACACACACACTGACCTCAAAATGTGGATTAATCCGCTGCTGAAAATAGTCCCCAACGAATGCTCTATGTGTAACTGTCTGTAAAATAAAGACACAGATAGTTGTGTTTAAATATTGACATATGAAGCAGGAGTTTAACAGTCAGAGAGCCACAGACAGTCGGGAGGTTAGAAAGTGTTTAAATGAGCACATTGTGTATTTTGGTGTAATCGTGGGATTTGTTGACAATAAGGAAAACTGATTCTCAAACGTCCTGTATTTCTCTGTTTTGTTCCTGTGTAACACTGAACCTCGTGTTTCTGTTAAAGCTTGAAGTTTAGCATAAGTTAGGTAAAAGTAATACATGACTTTTTAAACATGAAATGGCCTGATGCTGATTTCTTACATCATTTCTTCCTACACTGATTCAGAAGACTTAAAGCAGTCTGTGTTGAAGTTTGATTTGATTGAATTTCCAGGTTAAACACGGCGACGGTGGTTTTAAACTGCAGACTTCTTATCTGTGAAGAATCTGCTGAAACTCGACACATTCAGTCATTTAAAGAGGATTTCATGTTCAGAGGATCTTTGCCAAAACAAAGGGAGGAAAGGAGGGTTAGGGCGGAGGGGTTAACTCTGGGGGCGGTCTGTGCCGCACTGGGTGTATGCATTAGACTGTGTGTGTGTGTGTGTGTGTGTGTGTGTGTGTGTGTGTGTGTGTGTGTTGCAGTTGTTGTTGAAGTTAATTCCCTGCATCTGGTGGTGGTTAGATGAAGGAGACCACAGCTCTGGAGCTGATTAGTCGGAGCTGATGCAGTTTTTACTCCTCTACGTTCTTCTGTATTATTTATATTGATGCGCCGTCACACACGTCTCTGTGTGTGGTCGCTAATGAACGAGCAGGTCAGACAGAGCTAGAAGCTGCTCCGGCCTCTCTGCTCCTCATCCTCAGGTTCTCCTTTAAACGTGTTTCCTTGGATGAGGACGCCGTCACGCCGCCTCTCTCATCTCACCTCCAGCGAGATAATCGCACACATACATGAGCTGTTTCCAGCGACACGCTGAGAGGATCTGTCACGGTCTGCAGCCTGAATTAGATCAGATGAAACTGAAATAGCTCTGATGGGAAATCAAGCCGCTGCACAAGCAGATAACAACAACCAGGAAGAGCCGGACGTAAACAGGATGTAATGAGGATAAGAAGTGTTAAACATCAGGAGTTGAAGTTTTTATTTCACGCTGATGTCCAGTGCACAGCTTGTTTTACTGTAACTGAATAAATGAAATGAGACGTGTAATCATCTGGGTTTGTTTGTGACTCAGAGTCTGACACACCCGGCGGTTACGCCTCTGACACTGACTGGAATAATCGGAGTGGAGGCGGCGAGCAGGGCAGCAGCGGTGTGGACGTGATGTGTAGCGTACGTTCGAAGCGCGCTGGACGCCATGGACGGCAGGAAAAGGCCCGTTGACAGCAGCCAGATAAAACCACTGTGTCATTTCCTCCTTTTCCTGCCTCGTCCTCGTCCAACAGTCGGACAAAGACTAACAGGGAACATTAAACTTCCTCTGTGACCCGCTCTGAGGCGGCGCATCAGGACAGGGACGGTGTGAGAGTCTTGTGTCACGGTCGTTGCATCAGACAGATTTCACACTGATTTTACAAATCACTGAAAGATCAGAACACATCTCCTTTTTACCAACACACACTCACAGACCAATGGCTGTGTAGCTTTATACTTCATTACTGTATACTATTCATTATCTGCCATTCTGCAGAATGAGTACTTTTACTTGTGGTACTCGTATATTTTGACTCTAATACTTTTGTATTTTTACTGAAGTCAAATTCTCAATGAAATCTGGGATTATAACAAAGAAAATATTCCTCATTTCATTGACTCACTCTCTCTCTTTCTGCAGATGACGTCTTCTCGGAGGTCAACGACCCGGCCTGGATGGCCAGACTCTCTCTCCCGCTCACTGGCGATTACCACGACAACGTTTTTGTCCCCAATGGGCCTCCGTCCCCAGAAACTGAGCTCCTTCCCCGGGACGCCCTGGACTCCTCGTCCTTCTCCACCTTTGGTAAAACAGAACGTCGTCAGCTGTCACTGCTGAAAACAACACAGCAGTTAAATCTGCTTAATTACTTTATATAAACAAAGTTGGTACAAGTAAATAATTGCAAATCTTTTTCACCTTAAGTTAGAATTTCTGTTTTCAGTTCCCAGAAACAGCAGCAGAGTGACACCTCCTTGTCTTCTTCCTCCTCTCAGGTAAAACTCCAGAGAAGGACGGCCCACTGGGCGGGACCCTCCTGTCTGAGGTCAGCACGCTGTTTGAGATGCTGATGACGCAGAAGGCCGACGCCCACCCCGGCCCTCGCCCGGACGTCCTGTACCGACTGTCTGCGGCGTACCGGCGCTCGCTGGGCCTGGACGGCGCCGCCACACCTGCAGCAGGCAACGCAGCGAGGAACTCTGGGAACACTGAGAAGAGGTCGGGCCCGGCTGCACCATCAGGACGTTATCAATAAATCTGTTCACTGAGCACCAGAAGAGACTGACAGCTCGGAACAGGAAGTGAACTGTTGGAAACTGTTTCAATGATTGTGATTGAAAAGACTGAAACTGTAAATAATGATAAATAACAATGAAAACGTAAACGTACAGGATGTGTCACTTTCAACGCGTCTTGTGTCGATACAGTGACGAGACTGGCGACTCCGACCAGGATAAAAAGATGTTGGTGTGGTTGAGCAGAGGTTGGTGAGAATCAGCAAAACAAAAGGTAGAGAAACTGAAGAGCGGATAGATGTCACGAGTAGAGATGAAACATCACCGGGGTCCCACTATGCCCCACCATTAGTATTACCGTTTAAGTTTTAATTATCACTATAACCTTGGCTGATTAACATGGTTAATTACTGCGGTTAATTTGAGTCACGTTAGGTTCTGTACGGCATCAACCAGCAACAGTCTCCCAGACGCTTGCATGGCGAGCAACGTGGGTTTGTTTGTGTCGGGAAGACGGCGACAGTGCCGGACGAGAGCTGTGATGTCATCACACCTAGTCAGATGTGTTGGACATGTTTCTATTTTAATGATTTATTACTTTTTCAACATTTTCCGCGATAATTCTGATCACTATAATCGTGACACTACATTTCTCTACTGTCTCATGTCTAGTCATGACACAGACAGACAACAGCTAAAGCTACAGAGAGCGACAGACGATCTGAAGTGTTGGTTTATACACTGAGTGACTTATGAGGGAATGAGGAGCAGGTGCACAGGTGTGTGTGGGGGATCAGGTGACCAGAGGTGGTGAGGCAGCTACTGGACAGGTGGAGGAGGACGGGAGAGGTTGGTGAAGACGTCTGCAGTTGTTGAGCGTCCGTACACCGGTTCATGAATATACTGTAGGTGTGTTGAAAATGACAGATCCTGTTATTGACATGGTGCTACAGCATCAGGTGCTTCGATTCAGGTTTTAATCAACAGTAAATGACTGGAATCAAACATCTGTTTGTTCCAGGATATTTACTCTGAAAAACAAGAAGGACAAAAAACAAAAAACACAGACAATGATTTGATAGAAAAACAGGAAGTGAAGGGAGGAACTGAGCAGGAACTTCAATAACAAAAAGAATTTGTCTTAAACAGTGAATCCAAACACTGGAAATGTTTGTGGCTTCCTTGTTTCAGATTATCTCTCACCTGAAATCACTGAACCTTTGTCTCCATGTTTCCTAATAAAGCTAAATAAACCTCACTGTCGTTCAGACTTCGGTCGGCGGAGAGTGAGCCAGCGACCAGGGGGAAATGTCTCTTTGTCTTTTTTTGTTTTTGCTCAAGACTAAACAACAACACAGAGCTGAATGAAGGGAAGAGAAAGTGTTTGTTGTCTGAACTTCCTGTGTCCAGCAGCTCTGAAGTCAAATATTGGAATATTCCTGTGTAGGTAAGTTTATTCAGGATGTTGAATTATTCAGTTTGTCTCTTAAATTATTGGTTTAACTTCCATCCAAAGTTTTTCTTAGTTGTAGTTTTCTTGACTGTAATTTGGAAACCAGATGAACAGCACTTTGTACAAAGTCTTTTGTAAAACCTTTGAAAAAAAAAAAAAAACTGTATCAATATTTTTGTGTCATTGAAAGAAAGATTTGTAACTTTTTCAATAAAATGTGTATCATTAACATCGTGTGTATCAGAACTTCATTGGAAAAACATCACATTTTCTGAAGTTGTGTGAAGAGGAATGTGTCTTTAAAGGAGGACTCACCGTCTGCGGCTCTAACGTTTGGTCACCTGCTTATTTTAGGTCGGACACGTATTTTTTGTCTGAGGTTGGAACGAGGTTAAAGTCTGAGTGAACCTCAGGGTTTTCACAGGAGCCAGAGTGTGTGTGGATGTTGACTGCTGAGTTGTTTTCCTTTGTGCACAGCGCCCTCTGGAGTTTAAAAGACACAGGTACACAGTGTGAGATCACAGAAGACGAATACCTCCATCTAGTGGCAGCGTCAGGTAACAGCAACAGAATGAATGCTGCCACTGAGAGCAGCAGCTCGGCATCTAAAGAGACTGAAAAAGGAAGAGTGAATTGGACAGAAGTCTAATGTAAAACACTGTGAGACACAAAACACAGACCTGAGACAAAACGATGCTGAAACACTGAGAGAATGAAAACAAATAAACTTAAGAAAAAAACCATCATGATCAGAAACTAAGAGAAATGAAGAGTCCTGGGGGAGATGGAAGAACCCAGACCTGCAACATGGAAACATTTGGAAAGATCATTTTGAAAAACTACATGAGCAAATTGAAAGTCAGATTTTTATTTAAGTTAAAGTACTGGAGTAAAAATACTTACTCAACTACTCAAAAGTACATTTTTTATAATACACTGACTTTTTAAAACCTGTAGAATAAAAAGCTGTAAAATGTGTCAAAATGTCCTTATAATGTCTAAATGTCCATAAAGGTGAAATGTCCGATGGTTTCAAACCAAAATTAGTCAACACAACAATAGAAAGACACACACACACACACATACACACACACACTTTATTGAATTGTCTTCTCCTCAATGCGTTGGTGATACACTCACTGACATTCACGCCAACGAAGCACAAAGACATGAACTGAACTGAGATTGAAATTGAATTGATTCTGCAGGAGTTCACTTCCTTCTTTAGCCAGTTAAAATCCAACATCGTTCAGGAGGCGTCCGACGAGCTGCGAGCGTCTGTAATGAGCCTCCAGCCTGCAGAGGAAATATTAATTTAAAAGACAAACTGGTCCAGTTTAGCTTTAGCGAGAAACAAAAAGAGCAAAGCAAACACTTTTCTTCCCCCGCAGATGGAGAATAAACAGGTAGGAGAGGGAGCAGCAGCCCTGTGGCAGGAAATAGATCTGGAAGCAGCTAATGCACAGTTTGCTATTAAATGTGCCACCTGTGAGTTACTGAACGCGAGAGAAACCAAAAATCTAATAAAAACTCGATTAAAACAACACTAGTATTTTATTTGTAAACCCCAATAATACAAGCGCCGCAGTATAAATTCATTTCTGGTAGAAATGTGAGGATGTTTGGGCGGGAGAGTGAATCCCAGGAGGAGCTGATGTGGAGGAGGAAAAGTAGATTCACCTGCTGCAGAATAAAGCAGCCGGGCCTCGGTGGGAATATGTAAAGAAACAATAAATAAAAGCAGAAGTAGTGTTAGAACAACAGGTGTTTAATTTTGCTCCAGTCATCTCAGATGATGAAAGAGCTGAAATATCATTCAAGGCTGTGGAAATAAACTGTTGTTTGTTTTACAAAGGGAAAAAAAAAGAGGGAAAAAAACGAGTGGAACTTCTGTTTGTGAGTCGTTTATTTTCATTTCATTTTCTGATGACGACAACTGGGGTCCATCAGTATCTGCTGATTCTGTTCGTATTGTTTATAAAGATTTCAACTTGTCTATGTGAAAATTTAAATGATGAATATTGGTACAGTAGTCATGGTGACGCATGTTAACGCTGTGGTGACTGCAGGTCAGTCACAGACACTTCTACGGCTTCGTCCACACTGAAAACACTGTTTCAGAACGAACACGCTCTCCACGAGTCCATACTGACACACCTGACCATCACATCACATGACCATCCAAGAGCACCGGGCATGTGCGTGCCGGTCTAAACAGGAAGTAGATTGTCCACGCTGCAGTTTCAGAAAATACTACAAATTTTGAGTTTTCAATCAAAGTAATTTCCCTGCGAAGATCAATAAACAAAGAATTGAAACAGAGCCTAATAATAATAATAATAATAATAATAATAATAATAATAATGATAATGATAATAATAATAATAATAATAATAATACATTGTTCAGGCCTGATAACAGCAGTTATAAAAACATCTTCTCCTCTTTCAGGAAACAACATGTCTGACAATCTGAGCTGATGAAATTTCGACCAAACATATAAATAATGGTTTTATTTTCCCTGGTGCAGCCGGAGTGAGAGCTTCTAGTTCCTGTCCGACGAGTCTCCCTGCAGCATCAGACACATTCAGCTTCATAAAAAATGCACAAGCTGCTGCATGTACTTTAAAAAACCATCTGTGTGAGGACGATCAGTTCGTCCATTACTACTGTACATTCACATTAAAATCTGCTGCGCCGGCACAACTTATGTAAACACCACAATGTAACACAGAAAATATTTTGTATTATCTTGCTCTTCCACGGGGTTAAACCGCTGGTGGGTTTTTTGGCCCCCAGGCTTGCCGTAGGCTGCTTCTTTGAGCTATGTTTTGCTGTTTTGACTTCACACACAACTCCTCCAAAACGACTTGCTGCTCTGCGGCTCAGGCTGCAGTTATTGATTGTTTTGGCAAAATTCCTGCCAAGTGGTGGACGAAAGGAGAGCAGATAAAAAGCCTCTTTTTGGGCTGTTTTTCCCCCGTTAGCTGTAATTCACCTGAAGTTTACAACCTGCACTTCTGACCGTGGCTGCAGGATTCATTTTATTTATTTTATTTTCTATTTTTTTCACCTCTGTTCTTTTACATAGATTCTATTAGCTTGGGGAGGGGGACAGGATGACTATCGACTTTTCCAACTTTGTTTCTTAACTTTATTAAACTTTTTCTTTTTCCCATGTTCAGTGACGTTAACACTTAACTTTTACCTATCAACAAATAACAAACTATTCAGCAGAGAAACTGCTTTTCAATGTTTTATGATGCTGTTGAAGGTTTGTTTACATCAGGAATAGTGTTTTCACTTTTGTGGCTCCATTTCAACTAAATTCCAAATTCTCCTAATTTTGGATTCAATATCTCATAAAATGAAAATAACTGAAACGAGATGCTGTATCATGCACCAGTTTTATTTTATTATATGCAATAAAAACTAAAAGATAATAAAATAAAATAGCAATGAGAAACTTGCTGCAACAGACATTTAAATGAAAGAATTTCTTATTGGTAATTATTAAGTTTCTTTCTGAAAACCATCATTTAATTTACGGCAACAGAAAATCAGTATTTTACGTTACAATATTTTATTTTGACATTTAACAGGAAACTTTATTTTGAACAGATGAGGTGTGTCAGGTAAAAACAACTTGAACTCTGCAGCGTTTTGTTGAGTTAAGAAGTTTGGAGTTGTGTTTGACTCGTGGTAAAGACACGAACCAAACAACAGCAACACTTTGAGACCTTTGCTGCTCAATGGACTGGGTGGACTGGGTGGACTGGGTGGACTGTGTGGACTGTGTGGACTGTGTGGACTGTGCGGACTGGGTGGACTGGGTGGACTGGGCGGACTGGGTGGACTGGACGGACTGGGTGGACTGTGTGGACTGGGTGGACTGTGTAGACTGGGTGGACTGTGTGGACTGTGTAGACTGGGCGGACTGGGCGGACTGGGCGGACTGGGTGGACTGGACGGACTGGGTGGACTGTGTGGACTGGGTGGACTGTGTAGACTGGGTGGACTGGGTGGACTGTGTAGACTGGGTGGACTGGGTGGACTGTGTAGACTGGGTGGACTGGGTGGACTGTGTAGACTGGGTGGACTGGGTGGACTGTGTAGACTGGGTGGACTGGGTGGACTGTGTAGACTGGGTGGACTGGGTGGACTGTGTAGACTGGGTGGACTGGGTGGACTGTGTAGACTGGGTGGACTGGGTGGACTGTGTAGACTGGGTGGACTGGGTGGACTGTGTAGACTGGGTGGACTGGGTGGACTGTGTAGACTGGGTGGACTGGGTGGACTGTGTAGACTGGGTGGACTGGGTGGACTGTGTAGACTGGGTGGACTGGGTGGACTGTGTAGACTGGGTGGACTGGGTGGACTGTGTAGACTGGGTGGACTGGGTGGACTGTGTAGACTGGGTGGACTGGGTGGACTGTGTAGACTGGGTGGACTGGGTGGACTGTGTAGACTGGGTGGACTGGGTGGACTGTGTAGACTGGGTGGACTGGGTGGACTGTGTAGACTGGGTGGACTGGGTGGACTGTGTAGACTGGGTGGACTGGGTGGACTGTGTAGACTGGGTGGACTGGGTGGACTGTGTAGACTGGGTGGACTGGGTGGACTGTGTAGACTGGGTGGACTGGGTGGACTGTGTAGACTGGGTGGACTGGGTGGACTGTGTAGACTGGGTGGACTGGGTGGACTGTGTAGACTGGGTGGACTGGGTGGACTGTGTAGACTGGGTGGACTGGGTGGACTGTGTAGACTGGGTGGACTGGGTGGACTGTGTAGACTGGGTGGACTGGGTGGACTGTGTAGACTGGGTGGACTGGGTGGACTGTGTAGACTGGGTGGACTGGGTGGACTGTGTAGACTGGGTGGACTGGGTGGACTGTGTAGACTGGGTGGACTGGGTGGACTGTGTAGACTGGGTGGACTGGGTGGACTGTGTAGACTGGGTGGACTGGGTGGACTGTGTAGACTGGGTGGACTGGGTGGACTGTGTAGACTGGGTGGACTGGGTGGACTGTGTAGACTGGGTGGACTGGGTGGACTGTGTAGACTGGGTGGACTGGGTGGACTGTGTAGACTGGGTGGACTGGGTGGACTGTGTAGACTGGGTGGACTGGGTGGACTGTGTAGACTGGGTGGACTGGGTGGACTGTGTAGACTGGGTGGACTGG